GCTCCACAAATGGGAGGATTCGGCGGTGCTCCACAAATGGGAGGATTTGGTGGTGCTCCACAAATGGGTGGATTTCCACAAAATTGTCCAATGGGAGGTGACTTCGGTAAATATGATTTCTTTTTAAATTAATTCTAACTATGACAAAATTCTATCATATACTATTTTCAATTATAAATTTTATTTTAGGTGCCTCAGCTCCACCAATGGGCATGATGCGTTCACTACAAGCAGTTGGTGCTCCATTAATGCAACCATATCAACAAATGCAAGCATTACCTGCTCCAGGTCCACAATCATGTAAGAATTTTATTTTATGTGAGAGTGATAATAATAAAATGTATTTATTCTCAATTATAGATCCAGTTCCTCAACCATATCCACATCCATATCCAGTACCAGTTCCAGTTCCTCAACCAGTTGGTCAACAACAACAATCATTTCCAGCTCCACAACAAAGCTTTTCAGCACCACCACCAAGCTTTTCACCACCTCCACCACCACCAAGTTTCGCTCCACCACCTAATTTTGCTCCTCCTCCACCACCAAGTTTTGCTCCACCACCTAGTTTTGCTCCACCACCTAACTTTGCTCCACCACAACAACAACAACATCAACAAGCGTATTCACCTCCACCACCACCACCACCACCATCATTCCCACAATCTGGTCCTAGCTTCGGTGGATCTGAACAATTCCATATTCCACCACCACCACCACCATCATCGTTTCCACCTCCACCTCAACAACAATTTGGTGGCGGATTTCCACCACAACAAGGTGGTGCACCTGGTGGCAATGGTCGCATGATCTGCTGCTGCTTTCCAGCTCCTAATTAAAAGTACAATTTAGATTATCAGTTAGACACTTGTTTTCTTTTTTATCTTTTTTTCCTTTGCTGTGTAATCACATCTTGCTTACTTTTTGCTCTTGTGCTTCTGGGCTCATAAAAAACACCACAAAAATTTGTCGTTTAATAATAGTCCAACTCAATATAACATTTTTTTCAAACAAACAAACAAACAAATAACAATCGACACACATATACATAATTATTTGAACAAGCAAACTTGTTCAATATTATATAAAGACATTATTTGTCTTAACACTTAATTAGAATGCTTATTGATGTTTCCTTCAACAATTTTATGCTCATATTTCATCTCAGATTTAGCGTGTTATCAGTGGAGTTTTTCTCTTTTTGTTTATAATTCTTTTTTTATTTTTTCTGCGTGTCTGTTTGTTATATTGCTGCATTTATTAATGTTTGTTTAGACAAGAAAAATAAATAAAATATATATTCAAGTCCAATCATAGTTAATTTTTCTTTTATTTACATATATTATCTATTTTTATTTTTATAGGTAATTTAAATACAAAAATTTGTTTAAAACATTTTTTTTTATATAGACATATATGTGCAAAAAATAACTAGGTAATTATGATGGTGTTGATAGCTTCACTTTCTTTCTCTTTATGTGCTATATTACCAGTTAAGGTAGTGAGAAATTAGATATTTGTGTGGTTTTGATGGCTGTCATTCTGATTTGTATATTACAGTAGACATACTATGGTGATAGACAAGTATTGATAGATAAATAGATACGTGTTTGTCACTCAAGATACGCGATACGCACTACTAAGTTTTTCCTTGTTGGTAATGTATACGAAATGAATAATGATGATCCAGATAGTTATTCAATCTACTATTATACTTTGACAAGATGATTTAATCAAAAAGAAAAAAATGAAAATGAATGATAATGTTCATGATAAAAATACTTAAAAAGTTACCTAAATCTCCTTTAAATATTTTAAATTAGAGTAGATACTTATATGTAGAAAAAAATAAACATATGAAGTATCCTTGTATGAAGGTGAAAATTATTTTAATTAATAATGAGGTTGTTTTGATCATCATAAAAGATAGACATTACAAGTAAGGTTTTAAGAAAAGAAATACATTTGAATATGAATAAAATATGATTTCAATATGACGTTGATACTTTTTTTGCGATTTCAATTAAATAGCCAAGGGCATTATTATCGAAACGCAATTTATGTACATAGACAATTTTTATTAAATATATATTAGAAAGAATAGGCAAAAAAAAGATGATGTAGTATTCAAAAATACTACTGTCTCCTCTATCAAAAGTACTTTATAGCCTTTTCTTTTGTGTACTTTAAGTGTTAAATATAATGAAATTTTTTTCTATGTTATCGATTGTGTTCCGTCTATTAAACGTTGGTGATGAAATATTCACATTTATTTTAACACATATATTAAAAGAGCCTTCTATTCAAGTATATAAGCAAAAGAGAAAGAAATCAATTCCACACTCATAACAGGCGTGTGACAAGTTAGTCTGTTAGTTGGTTGACGATATAATTGTCACACTGCTATTCATCAGTGTTGTACAATAAGTATACTATGTATAGTTTCATTCTATGTATTCATTCGATTAATCAAGTGAACATAGAAACTAAAGGCAAGGCCGTTCATCATAACCGCGCCATCTCAAACTCATGAGGCCATCACTGATGGCTGCGAAGACACTCACCAAAAAAAAAAGGCAATTATACGAACGAAAAGAAAAAAAAATGAGGCTAAAAGTGACAAGATAAGAGAGAAAATGACAGAAAAGTCGGCCTTAGACAAGGATGCGACAGAGAGAAGGATAGAAGATTCGACTGTTCACGAAGTATTTCTCTCTCTTTCTATCTTTCTGCATTAACAATTTGGCTGCGGTCGATTGATCATAGAAGAAGAGAGAAAGAGAGAAGGTATGAATATGTATATGAGTGATGTTCTAATCATTTACATTAATATAGTCGCAGTCTGCGTCTAAAACTTAAAACAACTCCCCCTCTAACCAACACCGAAGGTATGTAATATATATCGATTTTGTCTTTGAAAAACTTAAATTATCTCACGTTTGTATTATTACTTATTGAACAGCTTCATTGTTTCGTCTTTATACAACTATACATATATCTCCATACATATATATATCCCTAATACAAATTTAAAAATATTTACAATGGGAGGTCGTAATGCTCGCGCTCAAAAAAATGATATCGCCAATTATGGCGCCGGTTACAATTCTTCCAATGGTTACGGGGAGATCGAAAATTATGGTTCAGTTTATCAACCAGGAGGAGGAGGTTATCCAATAGGCTATGGTTTTACCGACGGACCATTCGTTACATCGGTGAAACCTCCTCTGGGTGGCCTTGGTAGCCTTGGTGGATATGGTAGTTTATATCCAGCAGGCTTTAATCCAGCAATTCAAGGTGGTTTTGGTGGACCTAAAATCCGTCAAATTTGTGTACCTAATCATATAGTCGGAGTCTTCCAAAACTTACTTCAACAAGGTGGATGTGTCGGTGCACCACAAATGATGCCTCAACAACACTGTGCTCCGCAACCAATGATGCCTCAACAACATTGTGCACCACCACCGATGATGCCACAAATGCCTTGTGCTCCACCACCGATGAT